TCTCTCTCTCCTCCTCCTCCTCCTCCTCTCTCTCTCTCTCTCAAAAGGCACACAAACACAGAGATACACACACATACAATCACTGAACTCCCTCTCTCTCAAAAGGCACACAAACACAGAGATACACACACATACAATCACTGAACTCCCGATTGGTCTATACACTCTATAGTCCATCCCATAAATCCATTCTGTGTTTTTTTTTTTAAGTTGATATAATAGGCAGTTTTCCTTGGCCAAAAAAAAAACCTTGTTGTACATAAATGTAAATGTGGGAAACCACACAAAATTTTAGAGTGCAGAAAAGATGCCGACATGCGTGCAAAAACAAATCCTTATGCACACATGTCTGTATAATCATTGTACTCCCAGTTATAATATAGAACCTATAGCCTATCCCAAAAATCAATTGTTTATGTTTTTCGAAGTCAATATAATAAGCGAAAAAAACTTCTTGTAAATAAAAATATAAATGTGGAAAACCACCCAAAATTGTAGAACTTAGAAAACATGCAGATGTACATGCAAAAACAAATCTGTGTATATTAATAATCACTACAACTACCTCATACACCAATAGCATCAATACCAGCGAGCAAAAACAATTGTGCAAAAGTCATAGATTTCCACAAATCAGGAAAGAAAGCATCATTTTCAGCTCATGCACTCTCTCAATGCATCAGTCATAGAAATAAAGGTGATTGTATGTAGATGACTTTTAAACAGCAGTCCACACTCGTGTTCCAAGACACAGTAAAAAGCACATGACTTTGAACCCAATCCCAAAACCTTTTCATGACAATCAACATTTGAATTGGCTTCTGTTGCCAACTTAGTTTCTGATAAGAGAGTTCCTGAACAGAAGCATTGCCTTATCCAAAGAAGCACAGCCATAGAGAAATTGACCAAAACAGAATAAAATAAAACACTAAGACATCCAAACCCATGAACCACATCAGAAAAGAAGGAAACTATATTATATTCTCTGTGGAACATGTGCCAATCACTAAGAAATGGCACAAAAAAGAAGCCAAGAACAAAGGAAACACATGGCAGAAACGGCAGTTCTCGAGTGCAAAGCACAAGTTCAGATGGTAAGAAGTACCAAACCTGCATCCATCCTTTCCATTCTTCTGTTTGATGTCTGTTAAGATAAAGTACTGATTTGCCAGAGAATGCTGACTTATCATTAGTGCTTTTTCAGAGATGTCATTGCTGAAGCTATGATGAGAAGCAGGTACAGGAAAAGGAAAAGGTCGCGGCTGTATGTCTATAAAAGACAGATCACAGACAGCAATACAAATTAGCAACACCACTGGAAACCCAATATGCTTTCCTCACTTTCAACATGATCAAGCCCATTATATTAGTCTTCATTCACAAGAACTACACCTCAAAGTCATCATAATGGTAATTTACAGAAAGAAAAAGGCATTAGGATACCATAGAGCACGGAATTCATATATTAAGTGTTCCAACACAAAGCTCTATCACTATTCATATTACAGTTGAGCAATTCATTCAGAATTTCAAAATAGACAAGGTACCTTCCTATAGTAATTAGAGAGCATATGGTTATCCTCGGGTGCCCGAGAAACAGTTGCTTAGAAAAGCAAAAAATTATTAATTGTCCACACAGACATTGGTTACTGATTCATTGTAGGAGCATGCAAAGACAATGATAAAATTCTGAATATCCACATTAGCAGCCAATGATTGTTGGAAATAATGAATTATTGATATAAATGTCTTTTATTGTTATTTAGGACTTATATGTCCTATTTCATTCTTCATGAGCAATGTTGTAATTTGGTACACTTTATTAATATTAAAGGCGTGTGATGGTCATTCTAGACCATCACATCACTCTCTCTCTCTTCTTCACATCACTTTCTCGCTCCCTCCCCTCCTCTCTCTCTCTTCTTCACATCACTCTCTCTCTCTC